TGAATGTTGGGAGGAGAAAGTCTCAAAGAGGGGGGAGGGAATTCATAATAAAAGGGTATTGGTTTTGACCATTTTACCCTTCTTAAAAAACAAAAAATAAAAAGGCCAGAAGAGTAAAAGAGCCTCACACTTACTTGGAGCTGACATGTCTTGCAGTGATGGCTCATCCTGACACTTGGTTGCTATTACCAGCGCTCCTTGTGGAGCACTTTAGGTGGCAGGGGTGCGTGATGTGTCGCAATGCTGAAATAGCAGAGCAAGTACGGTTAAGTCTATGTTGCTGTCTGGGTAAGAAATCTATAGATGTTAGAGGGTTCATTATTACATAGTGCTTTAATTTGGGGAATTAAAGGTTGGTGTAAAATTAGATTTGATGGGTGGGCTGCTTACGATATCATGAATATTAGTTATGAATTACATGTACTGAAGGCATGCACTAATGGATACTTTGATTTGAAAAACATCTGAAACCTTGTGGAGTTGTGGAAATTATGGAGCTGATGGTTGATAATATTCTAGAATCTTTGACAAGATTTGTTGGTATATTACATTGGTCTTCTAAATGTTAACATTTAATTTTTAAAACAAAATATTAACAAATTTAAGCTTGTTAATGCCTTGAATTTTACAATTAAATTCAGTATCAGGTTGTACCATATCTTTGTTTACTGTGTATTTAAACTTAATTTCTTGGTATTTGTACCCTTCATGCTTTTTGTATTCTTATTCTGGTTATACTTGTGTCATCTCATTTTTATTACCTTTCATTTTATTATGGAGTTAAACTTTTAGATGGGGAGAGACAAGCATTATACTTACAATTACTGTTTTTGTCACAGTCAAGATGTACTCTCTGCAGTGCAGAAATTGAAACTGGTTCTTTGATCCCTAATCTTGGTATCTTCCATTTCCTTCATAGTTTTATACTTTTTCATCCATCTACACAATATGCACAAAGCCACCTATTATATATAGCCTTATTTTTGGTTATCTTATATCTTTCTGATGCATTTGGTTTATTGTTTTTATTTATTTATTTTTGTGACAGATTAATTTGATTTCCTTTTCAGCTCTTAGAGCTGCAGCTGCAGCTGTCAAGCATGAGGATGAACGGAGGTTATTTCGTAATGCTGCTCTCCGAAAGCGGCGGAAAGAAATGGGTGACCAAATGGATTCAATGAGAAGAGTGAACAGGGTATTTAACATAAGTAGCCTGTGATTTTTTTTCCTTTTCAATCAAAATATGGGCAAATATTCAAAGAAAAATAGTGGCAGAAAACATTTTTATATCTCTTCAAATAAAAAATGTGAATCTATACATTAAATGTGCAACAATTGAAAAATATACAGTGTCTATTTTAACCAAAGATTACTTTTAAAACAATGATAAGGAGATAGCATGACATCTTAGGTTTACCACGTATAATATGATTTACCTAGAATGTTCCACAAATGCTTTATTCAGCTTTTATAAGTGGCTATTTTTAGTAAAGATTACTTCAACAATGATAAGGAAATAGCATGACATCTAAGGTTGACTGTGAATAGTATGATTTATCTAGACTGTTCCAGAAATGTACTTTGTTAAAATCTTGCCTAGCTGTGGTTAGTTCATTTTATAAAAGAAAAAAATCGTGGTCTTGTTTTTATTCAGAAATTCCAGATTTAGTTTTCAAATGTTACTAAAATTTTATTTACTAAGGTTTTCTAAAATTTGATTTGAAATTTAATACTAGCAATTGGATAGTGCAATCTTTGTGCAGATATTGCTTGTTTGCATACCCTATACTCCTATTGGTAGCAAAAATATGGAATTGGATTTTCTGAAGTTGGCTATATGACTACGAGGTATTACATTCATAATCCAATGGCCCATATTTTTTTGAGCATATGCAAGAAGAGCATGTCCTATATCCATTATGAATGCAGGACCTTGCAGTCATATAGCCAACTGCAGGAAATCCTGGTCCCAAAAATTTTCCTCCATATTCCTAGTTGTTTGCAGCATCAATATAAAAATAACATATACTAATTGTACAATGTTTGACTTTATATTTGATGAATGATAATATGGTTGTTCATATATCTTACAAAAGGAAAATTTTTGGGCAGTTGAATTTTAATCCTATTTTATTAAAAAAAATCCTTAATATGTTTAGAACATTAAAAAATTGGGATATATGAGCTAGGATTAAAATGAAATTATTTTACAATCAGTCATATTGAACCCTGGAATAGGAGCAAGTTGAAGAACTTGATTTAATTTGGGAGTGCGGTAGAACTTGATTTAATTTGGGACTGTAGGCAGATTCTGCTAAAACTTGGGAGTGTTGCAGAACTTGATTTAATTTCTTTACTACCAAGTTTTTTCGTTTTGTCTTTTTCATAGCACTGTCCTAGTTTTGTAAATACTATTGTAATGTTATTGGCTTGGTATTCCTATTGTAAATCAGTAAGTAGTTTCTCTCAACCCTCTGTTAAACTCAACTATAGTGTTAAATTGCAGTAGAGGTTGACCAGTTATGAGTAGCAAACCAATAGTCTTGTGTATAAGCGACAATTGACTAATTAGAATATGCTTTCTGATTAAACAAAGTGTTGAAGACTGGAAGGATTTAGTTTTCACTTTTCAGGAGAGAAATTTATTTATATTGGCACTTAAATGTTTCAGGAAAATGGAGATTTTACTGCTGCTGATGGACTCCAGCGGGGAGTACAATATCCATTTTCAGTAAATGAGAAAGTTATTATTAAGGTAAACATTTTCAGTTTTATGCTTTCAATTTTTTTATCCAATGGTCAGAGCGGAATCAAGAACAACCAATTTCTACAGGGTAACAGGAGAACGCCTGAAAAATTTGTTGGGAAAGAAGCTGTGATTACATCTCAGTGTCTCAATGGCTGGTGAGTTATAAAGAATGATCCTGTTAAATTTACATTTAGACTCGATATATGGAGTTATGAGCAAGTTACCTTCAATGTAGAAATATTAACATAAAATGTCTGTTCCTTGCACTTTACATTATTACTCGGCTTCTTTATACCTTAGCGAATTTTCCCGCTTGGGTAAAGGGTATTGAGGTTTTCTGTATGCTTGGGTTCGCTGTATCTCATGCTGTACTTAGGTATCCTTTTTGATTGACTTGACAAGTTTTTGTATACTCGTATGAAAGGACACACTGTCACAACACAATCAAGTGAATCAACTATACATTTATATAATCTATCTTGTCTTACTTTTTGTACATTCTTTGCAATACTATTTTGAGATGGAAAAGAGTGAAAAAGTAAAATTCTCATATAATGTTGAACTTCTGTGCAGGTATTTGCTCAAGATTATTGGAACCGGAGAGAATGTCCGCTTGCAGTACCGTTCTCTTAGGAAGCTCTTAAACACTCCAGCGGACCAGTGTCCCTCACAGCCAATTCAAAATAGCAGCTCTTAAAATAGATTTATTATTTATAGGTTTTCCTCCTTTCTTCTTTCCTCCACGAGGAAAGAAGAAAACTTTTGTAGTCTTGATCCTTTGAAGCAAAGATTTTACTTATCTAGTCATGATCTTTGATTGTAAAGAATTACATTGACTGGTCCGGCTCCTTACAGCACGTGATAGAGGTTTATGTAACTTGTTAATGTATCAACGAGGTTATTTGTGTAGATGCTAATGCTAGGTCGGCTTATAATAGTTGTAAAGAAAGCAGTCAAAGATAAATTAGATAGCATGTAAATTGTAGCTTGCAATTACTGAAATGGATCCTATGTTTTTTTTTGCTTTTATGCCATAATTCATTTTTTGTAGAATGTGATGATTCTGTTTTCTGTGCCTTTTATATTTGTGATAGTCGATATGAACAGAATAATTTACCGCCAAAGAGTGAAATCATAATGATACTATAGAAATGGTGGAAAATACAGCTTCTCATATGTCACGCAACTCGACCTGAACAATTTATTATAAATTGGGATTAGAGTCTCTTCTTGTTTTGAGAACACTGTCCCAATTTATTCGAATTTAGTTTTCTTTTGTTTGAATTTAATTTAGTGATTAGTTTTATTTGAATTGAGAAGTAAAAAAGGCTTTGAAAATGTACATACTCTAGAAAAAACTAAATTGATGCGTAAAGTAATGATTATAGAAAGTTATATATCAATTAAAATTAATATATTTCTTGAAATTAATTTAATTATTATCTAAAATTATTGAATACTAAAAACCTTTTTAATACATTTTTAGAGGAAAGTCTTCTTTTAGTTTGTAGTAATATAAAATTAGAAATTTCATATAAAAAAATAACATGTAAAAAATAATAAATTTAAGAAGTATATACTTTTTAGTTTAATTGAATGACTATAATCAACCCAACTGAATTTTAATTAGATTTAATTTATTTTTAAAGAGAGATTAAGTTAATTCAAATATATATAGATTTATATTTATATTAAAAAGAATTCAACAAATCCAATTAAGTATAATCAATTTAATTTATTTATTTATTTGTTATCATGGATAGTCACAAATGGTATAAGATTTAGGTTGAATTTAAGGTAATTAAAAAATTCTATTTTGATAAACATATTCAAGAAGATGTATTAATGTTACAAGTGAAATTCTTCTTGTAGATCTCACATCAATTATTTGACAAGTAAAATTTTATGTCAAATTAAGTATTGTTGAACTTTAACTATCACTAAGTGATTAATGATGCTTGATCTAAAGATTCTTAATATATTATTGGCTCTCTACGTAATCATTACGTAATAATCATAAGAAAATTATCACACATGTATAATTTTTACCCATAAAAAAATAATTTTATTTATTTATTTATTTTTCATTTTTAACTTGAATCTTTCAAGTAATTCTCTCTCCAGGCAGTTATACAATCATGCAAAGGATTCAAATTTTTCTCATGTTCCAAGTAATTCTCTCAAGGAATGGACATGCACATTCAACAACACAACCATTAATATTAATATCTCCTCCAAATTGAAGAGTTGATAGAAATTTAATATGGATGCTTTTCATATATTAACTCATTTTACATCAATATGAAGTATGAACAAAGGAAAAAAGAAGGGAAGAATCAAAAATATAGTTGCCTTGGCATGATGCCAAGTTGCCAACAGAAACGTTAGAAAAGCTTCTGCAGATGTTGTTAATTAAGATCCAAGTGTAATAAATTCCAAACTGATGAATTTCACAAAATGTGGCGGTCCTGCTGGCTACGGATTCTTCACTCACTGTAATCTGGAATCCATTGACTTAACTTCAACTCAGCCATGCATTCTATTTGTAGATCCACTCGTTGGCACGTGCTCCTGACTCATCCATATCTATAAAAATGCTTACTGCCTGCACCAAATAATAAGAAATTAGAATGTACACAAACCATTGTTTTATTTTATTTTTTTCTTGGCAGCCACAACTCAGTGAAACTAGATAAGATTTTTATTTAGCCTTTATATTTAGGATTATTGACAGGCACAAAATATCAAATCACACTTCTTGTAGAGTTTTTCTTTCTTTCTAGGTCTTATTTTTTCCTCGAGAAAGGTTAAAAATCCACTATCTCTAGTTTGAGTCTTCATTTGCATAAGCTGTTTTTCATTATTAAGCAGTCATTGTTTTATTTTGTTTCTTGTTCGTCTCTTCAGTCTTCTCTAAGGAGGATATATATCCTCCTTTCACTGTGCACTCCTTTCTATGTTAATGACATTAAATAAGACTATAAGAGTTTATTTAGATGAACTTTTTCAGAGATATTTCTTGAGAAATAACTTATCCCTATGTTAACTTTTCGATATGTTAAAGTTAACTCTCGATAAGTTAAAAATAAGTTTTTAAAATAGTTAATAGAGAAGAGATTTTACAAATTAGTTTATGTATCAGTTAATTTAAAAATTATAGAGAAATTTATCTCTCTTTTTTTTCTTTCTATTTTCATCTCATAAAGGTGTTTCTAGATCAGTTTATTCAAAGATGTCTTAAGAAAGAAGCTGTCTTCAACTTCAATTTTAATATTACATCCTAAATTTAGTTTAAGTACATATTAGGTCACCAAACTGTTGCATAGACATCTAACATATGTATGTATATTTCAAAAAGAATTCCCATATTGTTTGGTCTTTATAAAATTGGAGGTTTTATATAAGTCCTTAAGATCATTATTATCACACATCTCAAGGAAAATTTATTTAAAGAGTTTTTTTTAGTGTTTAGGCTATCCATATGTGCATCCGCCATATAAAAATAACAGTTTCGAAGTTCAAAAACAGCATGTACATAATCATTTAAAAGACAGTAGCATAATTTTACCTTCCCTATCCGAGGTCGCTCCTTCGACTTTTCTAGGCTGTTACGAATATGTGAGACAGCTCCCCAACATTTTAAGGTGTTTGCAACATCATCAAGTCTCAAAATGTACTCTTCTTCGGTCAATGGGAAGGATCTCTAATAGCCAAAAAATATTGCACATACTTGAATACAATTACATGGTTACTATGCAAACAATTCCATAGGGGTTCAAAAAGCTTTTAATTACAAGCCTATATAAGGAATCTAATCAAATCATGTATCTTTTATAAAGAAAACACAAGATGTAACACAGAATTTCTCATACCTGCTCCATGTACTTCCACATGACATTCATTGCAAGGAGATTTCTGCCCATGAATTCCTAGCACATATTATGTTTAACAGTATGAGATTAAACCATGTCTTAATTCAACAATTTATCCAATTTCAAAGAATCAAGCACGCATCATGGAGCTGAATTTGTCATGTAGAACTCTAAATCTCGCAGGATATAATTCAACTTGTTTAAAAACTTACCTTCTTTATCAATTGAACATCATAAGACCTCCCATATTTGTTCCTAATAAGAGTAGCAAGATCAAATCCACTAAACGTCGAATCATCTTTACCAACTATTTTCTCGAGACTCTCTCTAAGCATTTCACTATTCAGCTGATACATATTTCAAAAGAAGTCAGACTCAGAGGTAAGCACAGCAATAGAAAGTTAGTACTTAATATATTAAACTTAGGACTGAGAGATTGAAAATAATCTGATTGGAAAATAACTTCTACATAAATGTAAATCAATCAAAACTTAAAGTCAAGGAGGACAGCTGAATTTTGCTTAAACATAAACCTTTTCCTTTCTATTTTTCTCTCATCAAAATACTTCTGGAAAGATTTACCCCTAAGTCAGAAAAGTTGCCAATTTAAAATGGAGAGAAAAGAGGTGTATCTACAATATTGTAAAACATTAAAACAAGGATTTCATAAAACAGTTCATTGGACTTCAGAGGAATGGGTAGAAATTAAGAGAATAGAACTAAAGGAGAAGCAAATACTTCACGTGCTCAGATGTTACTCCCAATAATATTAAAGAATTGACATGGTGAGATATTTTACAATGCAATGAATTACATGTACAATAGGAAACTGAGAAGTGAACATACTCCTCCCATTTCACCATTCTGAGGTTTGTTGTTATCAATGTCATCTGAATCAGAAGGGTCCATACTGTTGCTCACTGAACTGGAAAAAATGGGCCTACATTTTCTGGCACTATGGCCATATTTTTGAGCATGGTATCCAACATTAAGGAAGTCCAATCCTCTGGAAAACGGAACCTTATTAATACTACCTTTATCAGAATGATCCTGAATTCTCAAGGGCCAACTACACTGGTGGGTAGACATAATATTCATCGTATCCTGCACTCACTGCCATTCAAAATGCATGAAAAGTGGGTAACACTGTTAGCAGCCAAAAAATAAAAAATAAAATTTAAGACCAGAATTTGATAAAAAGACAAAATGGGCATTTGAAAAATAAAAAGTAGGTCATGAACATCGTGAAGGAAGTAGAGAATTTGACCGACCAATTGACAATTATAGGAACAAAAAGGCCAATAATAATAGATTGAGACAATTCTTACGCTAACCATTTACAATTTTTCAAATATATCAGCGTGTAAACAGGAACTTGGTAAAATAAGTAACTATTCATTTTAACTCCATGCACTGGGTTCATCAAAGAGATCATCTTATGCTTTTTCCTAATTCTACTTTAAGACCAAGACAACCTTATGAGATAGATGAATAAGAAATGGAAGCTCGGTATAGAAATTTGCATAGACCAATACTAAATAAAGTAACTTACATAATGGTGGCACAAATAAATAATTAAACTGGTTATAATAAAAATCATGCAGAAAAGGCATAACGTGTTTAATACATGTAGAGAGCAAACCTTGGTGGTGTTTTTGGAAGACAGGAACAGAAACGGATTGGGAACAATCACCTCTTCGGTTGGTGTTTATTTTATTTTATTTTATTTTTGTTTGGGGTGAATACTGAACAAGGATCTAATATTATCAGGGCTAAATATTATTGATGTGAGAATATGAAAGAGATAAACTAAGGAGTGGGACAGGTAATTGTGGATATTAAAGGTGGTTGTGCAATTAAGGCAATAAGAACCTCACGTTCTGGTTGTAAGGAAGGGCAACCACATGTTGCCACGTGCAAACCCTGCGGTTGCTTACGCATTCCTAACTCAACACAGGAAAACGCATGTTAATGTTATGCCTTAACAAGCCACGTCTCCTCTATTCGTCTAAGCTGAGCTGACAACAACATACGTGATATCAGATACGTCTTATTATCACTTTATGTATATAAATTAAAATAATTATACTATGATACGAGAATGACTGTTTACAACACACACATAGTAAACTGTCGGTTAGCTCTTGCTGGTTTGCGATGATTATTATTAACCTAAGTGCATCTTAACCATCTAAAAACTAATAAATTAACCTTTAGTGGTTAATTTTAGTATCCATCAATTTTAATAGAAGTTAAAGGTCTAGGTTAGTATAGAAGGTGTTTAGTCTAACAAAAATTAAAATTAAGTAATATTAATTTTAATGAATGTACAAATTTCATTATTTAAATTTATTTTATATTAATTTTAGAATTTAATGATCGTAAGTAATTTTATATAATTATCTAACCATAATTTTATTATAAATAATTAGTAAAAAAATAAATAATTCGTATTTTCATATATTTATTTATAAAGAATTTTAAAAAAAGATAATTATTAAATTTAGAAATAATAATATTCAATACTAAAATGTAAATAAAAAGGTAAATACTAAAATCTATCATCTTTATAATAAATATAGATAAATTTATTAACTTTTACGATAACTATATTAAAAATTATAAAAATTGTGATTTTTATTAATTGATTATATAAAATTATTTACATTAATAATATGTCATCATTAAATTCTTAATTTTATTAAATTTATATGATATATTTAAGAGATTTTGTTCGTGCCTAAAAATATGTTACATTTTTTTCTCTCTTAATTTATGTAATTTTTTTTTAATTTATATATATATATATATTATCATTATAATTTAATTTTTTATTTTTAACATTATACAAACTACGATATCATATGACATATCATGCTAATATAACACATGATAATATGAAATTATACTGACATAACATAAATGATGTATCCAAGGTTGACCCAAACATAAAGTAGTCAAACCTTAACTTTAGACTGCTAAAAATATTTTAGGCCAATCCTATGTATAGTAGGCTCCCAAAATATTTTTTTGTACTTATAGAACTTAATAAATTAATTGTATTAATATTAACTTTGGTTTATTGGTCATTGTTTAAGTCTAACATTGTAAGAACTGAAGTTTGATCTTAGTATTGTAATTTTTTTGCTAAAAGTTCATTTTTTTTTATGAGTGACTGTTAATTTTCTTGTCACTCTCTCTCATCTTTAAACTAGGTTCACTTTCTTATTAATTCCTCTTTTCCCACTAAATCAAGTTCAAATTTTCAATATTATTTATCCACTTTTCTATTATTTTTTCTTCTCCCCACTAAATTAAGCCCCAAATTGTGAATATTATTAACTAAACTTACTGTATTCTTCATCTTCTCGACTTACATTTCAAAAGGCTCAAAAAATAAATTTTAGATAAAATTAAAATAAACTATTGTTATTAATTTTAAAAAAATTTAACTTTAAAATTCGTTTTAAGACTCAAAATATATATTGGATCGACTTTTAATGTATCAGTTTTGGACTTATAATGATGTGATTATTTGATCACGTGAGACATTATAATATCAACAAACTAATATTTTTATAAATACATATATTAAAAATAAAACTATTGATTTTTATAGGAAAAAATTACAAAGGAAAAAAAAAAAAAAAACTCACACTACACATGAGAAAATCATATTTAAGACAAATTTAAAATATGTGGCGGGTACAAAAAAAAAAAGAAAAAAAAAGAAGAAGAAGAACATAGAGTGGAATCCCGAATGAGCGAGCGGAAGAGATTGAAGTTTGAATCGAGACGCAAAGCGAGAAGAGAAATGGAGAAGAGAGAGAGAGAGGAAATTGAAGGTTGGATCGGAGGAGAGGAGAGTGCAGGGGAGATGCTAAGTAGGGTTAGCAGCGTGCGTCCTTTCTTGTTCCCTCCGCCGCTGCACAGGGTTCCTCTCCGCGTCGGCAACGTCCTCGAGCTCGTCGGCCCCTCACCTTCCGCCAAGACGCACATTCTCATCCACGCCGCAATCACCGCCCTTCTCCCCAAACACTACGGCGGCCTCGACCACTTCGTCCTCTTTCTCGACCTCGATTGCCGCTTCGATATCGCGCGCTTCTCGCAGTTGCTCCTTCATCGCATCACGGAAGACGGAACACGACATTGTGATCAAACGCTGTACGATCTATGCATGGCTCGCTTCTTGTACGCCCGTTGTTACGACACCTTTCAATTTCTTCACACTCTCAGGGTAAATGTTTTTTTTTATATTTATTTTTTTTTTATCGTGGTGCTTGTGCTTCTTTGTGGTGGAGTGTCACTGGTTGTGTATCTTATTCCCTTTGTTCTGCCACAGACATTGCATTGTCGCTTAGAGAAGGAGAAACAAGTTCATGGAGTTGGTGTTCACCTCCTCTTGATTGACAGGTTGCTTTCTTCTTCCTCTTTAATTTCAAATGTTTTTGTCAAATAAATATCCTCTTGTATTTTTGGTCGCATTTCTAAAGTTTAGGAGTGTTTTCTTATATGCGTCTTTCCGGATAAACTTCTCTGGCAGCGGCACTTTAGGAGAGAAACAAGTGAAATTAGCTTTTTTCATAAGCTAAAATTAACTCATGCACATGTTAAAAAAAATTTGTTGGAGAAGCTAATACTAGAGAGCTTTTACAAATTAGTTTATGGTATGTTAACTTTAGCTTATAGGAAAACTTATTTCATTTTTTAGTACTTCTGGGAAAGTTTATTCAAACATATACTATATGATAAAGATTTATTCACGATCTTTATATTGTCATTAGCTTGACTTCAAATTTGAACTTGTTTGTTTAGCAAAACAAACTAGCCTAATTGAGCATTTTAACAATTAACATACCAAACATAACAACTCAACTCATTTACATCTCTACTTTAAGCCTTTTCTATGTCTTTATCCAACTGTTTCTTTGAATGTTGCGGCATTGTTAATTCTGATTATGATGGCTGGCATAGGCTCTGAATTAATTGTGCGAAGACTTGATCTGATGTTTAAGTAAACTTTGACTGATCAAACCGTATGTGACAGCATTGGAGCTTTTCATTGGATGGATCGTGCATCAATGTTCTTGTCTCAAAGAGAAAACAACAAGTAAGTTATAATGTTATATACATATTTGATGTTTCCTAGCGGATTGCAGTGGGTGTTTTTTGGCCTCATGCTTTAGAATTCACAGAGGATCCATTTACATTTAGAATTCTCAATCTCAAATGATCAAATTGTCCCTTTTAGCTTTCTTAAAAGGAGTGAAAACTTATAGACACAAAGCAAGGAGGATATTGACCGGAGGCTCTATTAATTGTAGTACTTACCTGTATCATTGGTTCAGATGTATGTTGATTTTAATTAGTAGATATTAAATGTGATGCAGGAAAAAACTTTTCCTTCAGACCGTGTCTGAAGCCGTAGTTCAGAATATTAGAAAACTTCTTCAGGTGCACCCTATGCTTGTTATAGCTACAAAGTCAGTGATTTTTGGGAACAAATATTCTACGTCTTCAAATGAGCTCAAAGGGTGAGTTCTATAATATTAAAATTTGTTCCTTTATTTCCAGATAATAGAGAAGTTTGAAGAACTCTTGAATCTCACCTGAAATCTTGTATGAACAGAAAGATATCTTTTGATTTGGTAAAAGGTTGATTTTGATAGCACCTTGCACTGTGTCAAAAGCATGAATAACTATTTAGTAGAGTTGTGGGTTACATAGTGTCTGGTTAGAGGGGGATGAAGGAGAGGAGAGAAGTTTTTATAAACTTTTCTTATTTGGTTCAATTTTTAAGAAGGGAGTGGAGGGGGAAAAACCTTCCTCATCTAATTTTAGCTCCCTCCACCCACCCACCCAATATTGGAAGGATTTGGAGGGGGGAGAGGCATTTTAAAACATTTTTAGTATAATGTCCAAAATATCTTTTTTTTTTTTAATTATTTTTTTAAATGTTTTTAAATTTAAAATTATAAGGATATAAAAGTAAATTGGTTTTAAAACTCCTTCCCCTCTCCCCTCCCTTCCAGTGAACCAAATAGTTGACCCATTTCAAGGGTGATTAATAGGAGAATCATTTTAATAGATTGATTGCTGTTAATAAGGAGGCTGATGGGTAATTAATCGACAATAAAAGCTTTATCATTACTCTTTGCTCCTATATAAATGTATGTATGGGCTTTGATTAAGTTTACTTCCTTTTTACAGTGTTCTTTTCTCTGTAAATATATTTCTCTCTCTAACAAAGTAACATCCTCGTGCCCTAATTTTCTCTCTCTAATATTTTTTCAACACTTTGTAAAGCCCAGAGAATTTAGTGAAACCCAATTGGCCTTCATTGTTTAATTGTGATTTGTCAGGTCATTTGCATTTGCAATGTCTCTATTTTTGTATCATTTTTTTTTTTGCTAATTTTCGATCAGACACTAATAAAATATATGGCAGTGTTTTCTGTTCCAATCTCAATTTTACTTCTTGATTTTATGTATGATTGATACCCTATAACAGGAATATGGAAGAACGATGTTCAAGAAACGTGACAAGAAACCATCAAACTTTTCAGTATCGGGAATACATGCCATCTGTTTGGCAGGTAAAAGTTTTGTTACTAGTACATCTTATACATTTGTCATGTGTGTGTCGGTGTGTCCCAAGACCAACTCTCCTAAGAAAGCCTAAAAATGAGGTGATATATGAAATATTAATAAAAATAATGACAGAAAGTGGAAGAACACTAGGCAATAAGGGATTAGTAGGAGAGACATGGGAAAGGGGGAGAAAGTGAGAGTAATTATCTGTGATATATTGTTTGAACAATCATATGAATACCCTGACAATTTTTATTTGGAAAACATGCTACGTAAAGTGAAGATATTTATAAATATTTTTTGGGCAAAAGTTTATGATAGATAACTATCCACAATTATCTTTATTTGTATTATAGATAAGGTTTCAGATATGTTCTAATAGGACTTGGATGTTTGTCAATACCGCTGGTTTCTGCTTATGATTAATAGGACAATAGTTAAAGGTGGGAGCTTTTATGTTATTAAATTTCAGGTAGTGCTTCAAATAACCTTCTCAAGTGCTTTATATTTAATTATTTGGAGATGTAAAAGCAGATGTTTACATATAGAATCTTTTTTAACAGTGTTTGGTTCAAGGGGAATGAAACGGAGGGGAGGGGTTTTTATAAACTTTTTGTGTTTGGTTCAATTTTTAGGAGGAAGGAGAGGAATGGAGGGAAGCAAAGCCCCTCCTCATATAATTTTAGCTCCCCTCAAATAGTGGGAGGATTTGGAGGGGAGGGGAGAGGAAGAATTTTGAAACTTTTTAGTATAATGTCTCAAATACCCTTATTTATGTTTTTAAATTTAAAATTAAAAGGATATAAAGGGAAATGGAGGGAAGCAAAACTCTTTCTCATCTAATTTTAGCTCTCCTCCAATATTGGGGGGTGGGTGGGTTGGAGGGAAAGGAGGGATTTTAAAACATTTTTAGTATAATGTTCAAAATATCCTTATCTATGTTTTTTAATTTAAAATTAAAAGGATACAAAGGTGATTTGACTTTTAAAATCTGTTCCTCCCTTATGAACTAAACAAGAAAAGAACTATCTCCCCTTCCCTTCTTTCCGCTTAGCCAAACAAAATTTCTAATTCCTCTTCCTCCCTCCCCCTCCCCTCCATTAAAATCCCTATCCTCTCCTTTGAAACAAACACACCCTAAATATTGAGCATGATTATAAATATCTAAATATTTGTAATTTCTAATTTAATTGCTTGTTATTTTAATTCAGTATTAAGATTTCTAATTTGACGCTGCTCCTTCAACTGTCACAGTCCTTTGTTACACACAGAATACTTGTACGTTCTTCAGGTTTGGAGTCCATTATCACTGATTACAAATTACAATTTAGAATTTCTTTTTTCATCAGCCATGATTTCATCATATTATTACCTTTCAGATGATCATCCAGTTGCAACCAATTATCAAAACTCCTCATTCTATTTGTTGGAATGGTTATTGCCAAGATTGAATTTTGCTGATAAGATTGTAGTGAAAGATGTAAGAACATGATGTGTGGATCGTGGTTTTTAGACAATTTTAAGGTTATTAAACTTGATTGTTTTGTTGGACTTAGTTTTGGATTTGTTGACCTTGTAGGCTGGTGTCTTTCTGGACTCGTGAAGCACATGTTGCCATGGGATGTCTATATGTGATTCATCATCCTTCTGTGCTGAGTAATTAATTATTGTCTCTTCTGTAGTTTCTAAATATATGCTTGTTACCATCATTAATACTTTCGCAGTCCTCTTGCTTATTTGCTTTCAAAAGAATTTATTGCTTGTGTTGTTGGTTGATGTAATACAGTTTCACGTAAAGAACTTGAGCGAAAAGAACAAGCATGCGACTTCTTGATTGGACTCAATATTATGACACAGATAGGATCCATATCAAGTAATTATCGAGATCCATTTTTGTGAGGTTAAGTTATTCTTATATGCCACAAAAACGAAAGAGGAGTTTTATTCCACTTTGCTGTTCCAGAAAGATTGACCATTTTTTCAATCCTACAACAGGATAACAGTGCTGGCTGAAAATATCCCATCAAGCATTTTCTTGGCCAAGTCCAAGAAGCATTTGAAATGTAATTACTGGGCAAAGTCCAATTGCGTCTAATAAACCTTTTGCAAGCTTCATGATTTTGATAAGGTGGTGACTGGTGGGACGATTCATATTCCCAGATTGCAGGAACCCATCTCTGATGTGGCGCTTATCAGAAGGATCTAATATTTTTCCAACCTGACTTGAGAAAAATTCAGCACCCATGTTTGATCGTTGAATTCTATTCGCCCTCAACATCCTTATCTGCTCGCGATCATGCTCACATTCTTCGTATCTGTAACTTTTCAGTGTCTGCAGTATAGAATTCCAGTGCTTCCTAGCTCATCATGAGTAGTTCATATGAAAATATTACATTCTTTGTTTAGGAAAATATCTTTCTATTATTATTTTGTGCACTCATTAAATAAGATTATATTTCAAGTGATCATTGCATTGCTGCTAATCTTTTACGTGCCTATTCTTCTAGAATTTGTTGTGTTTCTAGGATGTAAAGGAAAGAAAAAGGTTGCATAGGAAGGATGAAGCTTATCCTATGTTTGGTAGCGCATTCGTAAAAAGAAAGGAAAAGATTGCCTTTGTTGGGCACTTGTAATATTGTCTGTGCATGTTTCAACATCTCTTTCTGCTCTCATGCATTAATTTCTTATTCCTATAATTTAGAAACGACCAAAATTTAGGGTCTCTTTAAGTAAATTTCTCTAAAAGCATTCTAGGAGATTAGATGAGAAAAGAAAAATGAAATAAGTTTTTCTATAAATTAAAACTAATTCATGTATAAATTAATTTGTAAAAATTTTCTTCTATTAGTTTTATTAAAATCTTATTTTTAACTTATTGTCAGTTAGTTTTAGTTCATTAAAAAACTTATTTTGATTTTTTTTTACTAATTGTTTTAAGAAGTGCTTCTTAAAAAATTGACCTAAACAGACTTTTGTTATGTGGCTTACTTTAATTTGGCCAGCATATCACTAGTGACGGATTAAAATAGACATTAGAAGCGATAAAAACTTTACTACCCATAGCACTTAATACGCATTAATATTGTTTCTTTTGTTCGCAGAATAATGTTTATGTAGGCAACTTCAGGTGTTGCCATAATGAAGAAATCTTTACTATTTGACTCCAACTATCACGTTGAAATTCTAAAGCAAATATAAAATAAAATTACAATTACAGCTTTATACATTTCCAGAAATGCCATAATATCTTGGACAGTAGTAAAACAGGTGCACCAGATCTTATCAACAAAATCTTGGTGATGATGAAGCACGTGCAGGATTAAGCGAGACATGATGAGTCAACAACTTTGACACTTGACCGTTCATTTTGTGTAATTTCTCCAATTCTATCACTCCCCATTGCATTCTCTCCAGGTTTAGTCTCATATCTTTCTTCTCTTGGGAGAAGCTATCTTTGTTGGTTTCATTGTACAAAACTATTTGGGAAGGCTTCATTCTTGGACTCTCGGTTACAAAGTCACTCGTTGGGATTTTTGATTGTTGAGAAATGAGAGCCTGCATTGCAACCCTTGGAGGTATTCTGGGGTTCTTGGCCAGATCCTTACTAGCTTCAAAGCTGAGTTTGCTGTAATTAAGACATCTACACAGTCTCGATCTTTCTTCAAATGTGATAATTGGGTGAGACTGCAAATCATTATTGGTTCCGGAAATGAGAATATTTCGTATACGGTGGTACGAAAGAACAAAACTAAACTAGTACGCTATAGTGTCAGGTAAATGCTGTCAAGAATTGAAGTTTTATGAGGAAATATATTTTGACATTTATTGTAAACTTTCATTAAATAAATTATCAAAGTTAAACTTTTATTTTATACGGAAAGCGAATGCCAAAAATGTTTAAAAACTACATCTAAGTTTTGTCTTATTACAAACGAGCAAGAGGTGAAAGAATTTTCATAGTAGATCACATGCCTTGACATTTTAATATTATTTCCCTTTCCCGGGTCATGTAATAGCAAACATAAACTACAACAGAAAACACAAGACAGTGACCACAAAAGAAAGGTTAAAGAGCCAACGTACTGTTTAAAATACAATTAAAAGTAATATGAAATTTTGATGCTAGAGCATCGAATTTATTGTCTTCACTGCTGAAGCTCCTACTGATAATGCAAGAGAGATACTCTTAGAAAGATGAGAAATAATTAGGGTATCTTGTAAATTTTTATTATATAAATTTTGTATGTATCCAGGCATGTACTTTCTTTATTTTCTTTGTTTGTTTGATTGCTATGACAGATAATACAGTCATACGTGTATGTATATAAAATAAAAAAAGAATATGTATATCTATATAAAATAGAAAAGGAAGAAGAAAAGAAAGGAAGGTGAAACAAATTGAGAATAAAATAAACAGGGATCTTTATTGTTTTTTTGTACAAATTTTTAGTGTCAGAAAATAAAAATAAAGTAATACTTATGTAATTATTTGTAAAAAAAATAAAAGTAAAAACAAAAAATTGCTTTCTCAAGCAAAACAAGACCTATTATCTATTTGCTCTTTTCCACTTGCTATGATTTTTTTTGGAAGATGATGCATAAGAAAAGCAATGGAAGAAGGGTATGTGTTATTCACCTCAATATAGATGTCAATGGCCTTGTAGACTCCATCATAACAATCCCTTGCAGAGTCTGGTAAGCATTCTGCTACTCCAAGAAATTTAGAGATCTTGAGGTTCTGGTCAGGGGATATCTCTCTCAAATACTTGTCAACTAACCTACCAACCTTTTTCAGTTTCTCTAAAGACACTCCATCAGAACCATTAATATCAACAAATAGTCTAACCAATCTTATCACCAAATTAACATCATAATAAACTCCTATGTCATGACCAGAGACTAGAAGATCATCTAGTGTAGCTTGCTCAAGCATCCCACCAATCAATTTCTCCAATTCAGTTCTGCAGCCTCTACTCAACCCAAACTTTGATACAATCCTTAGTACCCAAAAAAGGCCTCTGCAAGAAAAGTTCATTCTTCCAACAAATATGACTCCATAAGCAGCTGTTTCTGCAAGAGCAGCATACTCATTGCTGTTACTGCAATTAACCACTCCGGTTTGAGTAGCTATTTTCAGATAATGTAACAGAAACCTTGTGAGGACTAAATCTTTGTTATCAGCTTTGTATGCTCCAATAGTCTGGAAGAGTTTCTCAATGATCTTTGGTGGTAAAGTTTCCAAATCATCAAACCACCATGCCTTGCGTGACAAAGTTGACTTTATTTTTTCTGGGGTGGCTTTGGATGCAAAAGAGAATCTCTTAGCAGAATTGCTTTCTGGTGAAGTTGATGATGATGAACATGAAGGTGAGGAAGTGACGAAGTTTGCATCTGAATTCTGGACAATCTTTGCCAAGGCACAAATGATCTTCTCCAATAGACCATAGCCATCTACATATGCATAAAACAACTGGCAACTCTTGAGACTTGCTTGTATGTCACTCCATTTCCAGTAATAGATTCCCTCAAGAAAAGTTTCTGTTTGTTGCAAGAGATTGTTGCTGAATACCTCCTCAGTCATTCCAAGATAAACAGCACAACAGTGGAGGAGAGACACATTAGCTACAGTGATTTGGATTTTGCCATTGTTGTAACAAAACCTTGAAACTAGCTCAAACCCTTCTGGTCCTCCAGGGAAATCATTGATCCTAATCCCCAACTGCTTCACTTGACATCTTCTCTTTTGGTGATTCAAGACTTTCTTCAACCCCCCACAGTATTTTGATATAACCTTCTGCAAAATAAATAAACTAGAGTCACCTTACACAACCAATGTTTATAATTTTTCTATGAAAACATCAAACTATCACTCTAGAAAGAGTCGAGGGGAAACAATAATCAATACCTCTTTCAAAAAGAATATCTGCTGACCATCAATGTTGATTTGCAAGTCACAAGGCTTCGGCATGGCTACTTCTGCATTGAAGGAAAACAGATAAAACAAAAAAACAAAAAAAATGTTCTTGTGGATATGCACCCTTTATGAAAAAAGAGAAAATGCTTTCTACAAGATGTAACCTACTATCATCCTACTGTGGCCTGGTTATATGTTAATTTTCTGACCTAAATGGGTGCTTTATTTTTTTTTATATGGCAGAGGGGTGCATCATTCCCAACCCACCTAATTAAATTATGAACTAGTTTCGGCTACAAGTTTGTAACATTATTCATACTTCTTTATTTTATTCTTTATATAATGATTTGTTTATTATTGAATACGGTTTTGTGCCGTGAGTGTACAGTGCTAGTTATCATGGTTCAGTTTTGGCTATTTTATGACAGATCCCATGTATACGTCCCATCTATGACAAGTTTTTAGTATTATTGTAAACGTGGAGGCACAGGAGCTACTGAGCTATGTATATTTGCCTAAATTGTCCTATTGTTTCATGTACCCAACAAGGTTATGAAATAATTGAAGAAAATCACAATAATATTTTGTTATATCATGTGTTGGTGGAACAAATAGCAAAACCTTATGTGAGGGTTTTGTCTGATGCAGCAAATAGTGTCTGCGAGAAAAGAAATGGAAACCCGAAGTACATATAAATGTTCATATTTTAGTATTTCACATTTGTGTCATGTCACGTAATGCAAATAGGGTTCTCTGTCTCCTGGATTTTCGACTGATACACTTTCGTAACACGTGAACATGGACCCTACGGGTAAACCATTGTTACTACCCTTTTTTTACTTCACAACTTTATCTAATAAAATTTAATCTATTTCGGAGAAAAATATTTACGCCAATTAAATATATTTAAATTGGTATATTAGACGAATTATATCTTTATTAATAATTACTATTGTATAAACGGAGAAATAATTTCAAAAATCATTTTGGGTAATTTTCTTTTGATATAAAAGCGTCGGTGGCTCCTGTCAAATAAATGGGCATCAAAAGGAGGAAGAGAAAAATGCATAATAAAAAGATGTGTATTAAAATTTTGAGGACTAAAATAAAAATTGTCTCCAAATAATGCTACAAATTGTAAATTAATTAAGTTAAGAAGAATCAATCACGGGTCTCTCTGCCGACCAATGCAATGCATCTTTCAAATTAATTGTCAACTTGCCCACGCACAGCATCTTTTTTATGCCTTCACGTGTACCTATTTTTCTTTTTCTTCTTTTGTTAATAATAATTATTCTTGCTTAACATTTTCTTATAAAATACTAATTAGCTCACTCATTTATTTAATTAATACACCATATGCTTTTTTGAGAGGTGGCATTAAAAAAACACTTTTAAATTTCAATTCAATGTAATGTGTGAAGATTTAAAATTTAAATGAAATTTTTAAAAAATATTTAAAAGAATAAAAAACTCGTAAATAAAATATCAAATTAAATAAATTAGAATGATATTTTTTTAAAGTATTATTGTTTAAAAAAAAAATTTATAATGCAACGGTGGATAATACTTCAAGATCGGCTGGATCTAAGTTTCTACATTGGGCCTTCGGTCTTGTGCGATTTGGGCTTGGCCATACGGGAATTGCTATTTGGACTTCCTTTCTTACTTTACATTTATTGTGTATAATTAAAAATAATAATTTTATACACGTGGTTGAATTTATTTTAGAAATAAAATTTCAGATTATAAAATAAAAATTTCAAAAATTTAAATGTTGGAACTGTATAAAAAATGAATATTGAAATTTAAATTTCGGAAGATAATTCTTTACATTATGAAAATTTGAATTTCCGGAACTCAAAAAAAAAAAAAAAAAAAAATTCAAGAGTTTCATTCTCCCTCAAAAGGGAGATTTTTCTCTTCCCAAGACATGTTGATCGATGGATTAAACTTTGGATGGAGGTCACTTCTTATACCCAATTGGAGATCTGAATTTAGGTTAATTCGACCTATTTGAATTGAATCATAATGGCCAACACACTTTTGAATTGCATAGGCCTAATCTAATTAAATGGTGACTATAACTTTGCTGTACCAACCCAACTCTTTGCTGGTTGTGGGTCACAAAGGTTGGTTTATGGGTGACTCACTTTTTAAAATATAAATTTTTTTAAATCATTAAAAATAAATTGACTTTTTATATAACAAGTTAGTGAAGTATTTTTTAATCATTATAAATTAAAATAAAAAATATAGTTTGTTCTTTTACCTATAAAGTATATTACTATTTTTACGAACCAATGTTGACTTTTTTTTAGCCACTTTTCTATATATAAAAAAAAAGAAGGAAAAGTGAAAACGGGTTAAAAGTAACTCACTTTGTTTCATGTTGGGCTTTTTAACCTTTAGATCGTTGGCTTTGAATTCAGTTTTCAACCGACCCAAGGAGCCCGCGAGAGAAAAATAAATAAATAAATGAAACAAGAAAGATGTAATTGGAGTTAGCAAGCATTGCCACGTGTACCAGAAACACACTTTTTCAATGTGTAGTTAGTGTTAATTTTTAATTAAAAATTTAAATTTTATCTCGATATAACAAATAAATATATATTAATGAGATTTATATTAAATATATTTATATAATATTAAACTAAAATTTCAATTCTAATTAAGAAATAGTATTAATTATATTTAAAAAATTGTATAACAAAATTTAGATAAATTTTTTAAATGCAGTTTATGTTATTTTTCAGTCAATAGTTAGAATTTTAATTTGATAAAACGCATAAATATAAATTAACAACACCTACATTAAATACCAAAATAAAACTTATACCAACACTCACCGCACCTATATATATGTAACTAAGTTTTTTCCTAACAAATTAGTGTTCTATCGATGTAACCAGTCTAGTAGTTCTGGCGGTTTCTTGCACCAATGTTATGCTATGTTATCTTTAGCTGGTTGGAGCAACACTCTTGTCTCTCTATTCAACAAACACCAAACATTGGAGCAATGCAAACAGATTCAATCCATCATCGTCACTTCCGGTCTCTATTCAACACAACACACTCTTTTCCTCACCAAACTCATCCAATGTGTTCCATTCTCAAATACCTCTCTCTTACTTCTCTTCAACACCATTCACTCTTCCAACACTCGCCTCTTCAACAAAATCATCGCAGCCTGCTCCCACCCCTTTCTATGCTACGCAAAAATGCGACAAAAGGGCGTGCAACCCGACAAACACACCTTCCCTTTGCTCCTCAAGACGCTCTCCAAGACCATTGGCCACCACCCTTTTATGCTTTATGCGCAAATTTTCAAACTTGGCTTTGATCTCGATCTTTTCGTCAGCAACACCCTCATTCCGGCTTTTGCCAATTCTGGGTTCATGGAAAGTGCACGCCAAGTGTTTGATGAAAGTCCCTTCAAGGGCACTGTTGCTTGGACTGCGTTGATCAATGGGTATGTTAAAAACGATTCTCCTGCTGAGGCTCTCAAGAGTTTTGTGAATATGAGGTCGATGGGCATGGTAGTTGATGCAATCACTGTTGCTAGTGTTTTACGTGCTGCTGCATTGGTAGGCGATGCGAATTTCGGAAAGTGGGTTCATGGGTTTTACGTGGAATCAGGGAAAGTTCGGTTGGATGGTTATATTTGTAGTGCTCTCATGGATATGTATTTCAAGTGTGGTCTTTGTGAGGATGCCTGCAAAGTGTTTAATGAAATGCCTTACAGAAATGTGGTTTGTTGGACCGTGCTTGTAGCTGGTTATGTGCAAAGTAACAAGTTCCAAGATGCACTTCGTGCCTTCTGGGACATGTTATTGGATGATGTTGTGCCCAATGATTTTACGTTCTCTAGTGTTCTTACTGCCTGTGCTCACATGGGGGCTTTGGATCAAGGAAGGTTGGTTCATGAATATATAGAGTCTAATAAGATAAATCTGAATGCAGAGCTAGGGACTGCATTGGTGGATATGTATGCAAAATGTGGGTGTATTGACGATGCTTTAAGGGTATTTGAAAACTTGCCAGTTAAGAATGTGTACACTTGGACAGCAATAATACATGGGTTGGCTGTGCATGGGGATGCGATTGGAGCATTGCATATGTTTTCTTGCATGTTGAAAAGTGGCATTCAACCTAACGAAGTTACCTTTGTTGGTGTTCTTGCTGCCTGTTCTCATGGAGGTTTTGTAGAGGAAGGGAAAAGGTTATTTGAATTGATGAGACATTCTTATAATTTGAAGCCAGAGATGGACCATTATGGTTGCATGGTTGATATGCTTGGTCGAGCAGGGTATTTGGAAGATGCTAAACAAATTATTGATAATATGCCAATGAAGCCTAGCCCAGGTGTATTGGGGGCTTTATTTGGAGCCTGCATGGTCCACAAAGATTTTGAAATGGGTGAACATATAGGCATTTTATTGGTTAATCAGAAGCCAAACGATAGTGGTAGTTATGCACTTCTGACAAACTTGTACAAAATGTGTCAAAACTGGGAAGCAGCTGCTCAGGTTAGGAAGGTCATGAAAGGATTACAAGTGGAAAAGACTCCGGGATATAGTTGGATAGAAGTGGATGGTTTTAACTCATGAATTTAAGAGCGTGTTTGGATGGTTGACTGTAGAGGGAAAAGGGAAGGTGTTAGACATGTTTTCCCAATATTTGGAAGATATTTAAAAAGAGGGGAAGGGTTTGAGGACTTTCAATCAACCCTCCCCCAAAATTTCTCCTCTCTTTCTACCGCGACTCTCTCATGGTATCTTGAAGGGTTTCTGAATTTGCAAAAATCTGTCACACCATAGATTCTTGTCAACGTTTTGCTAAACTCTTGTTCAGGTATGTCTCATTTCTGTCCTTTTGAATTTGTGTGTTGGTTATTGTTGATTCTGATTTACAAATTATTGTTCCAGCTTTGAATTGAAGAGAGAAATTGAGATGTAGTGGGTGCGACAAGACACAAATGCAAAGGAAGGAGGAACTCGTGAAGCCTCGAAGCTGATTCAGGGGAAGGTAGGAATTTCAATATGGTTTTTGTTCCTTTTATTCTGGCTGTAATTTGTTAGTTGTTATTAATCTCCTCTTAATTCTGTTCCTAATTTCTTAAATTCGTTCTAATCATTTCCCTTTGTAGAAAACATGAGCAGGATAATGTTTTCCTTATTAAATTCATGCTATGATAATTCTTGCACTCTTGATCTCAAATTAATATTTTGCTTTCCTAGATTCATTTTAATTCTGAATATCAAATGTTTGCTTTATTTCGCAAGTCAAAATTTGGTGAACTAAGTTGGTGAAACTTCCTAGCATTGAGATGTTGAAATGTGGTTTTAAATATGGAAAATGTTTGAGCCTTCTTTGGTTTTGCTTTATTCAAAATGTATGCTAGTGTATATGTATATTCCTAGAGTCCATGAAGTTTATAGCTTAAAACTTAGTAAAGCATGTATTTTATTATTTTGGTTGTTGCTATATGGGATGCTCCTAGATTGATAAATATTAATAGAAATGCTTGATGTCATGAGAACACTTGTTGACAAACTTCCTGGTAATATTGATGTTTTGGCCAGGAGAGAAAATTGAATTTATTTTTGTTCTAATTTAAAATTTTGGCTTGTATTATCAATTTGGGAGGAAAATACCGTCTCTGCTTAGAACTGCAAAGTATGCTTGGTTGAATTGAAAATTGGAGGAGGGGCCAGGAGATCCATTGTAAGATTGGCTTAGCACTTGTTTTAATAGTACAAATTTTAAATTCAAGACCAAAGTCAGCATAAAGTTTATGTGAGAAGACTTAGAAAAGTAGTAGTATATATTATTTACGCTGTGACGCTATGATAAAAAGCAACAGGAATGAGATTTATTGATAAATTCTGCATGAAATAGAGTTGTGGACTATTATGATGAGTCTCTAATCAGGATGAGGTACTGCCTTATATTCAATTACCTTATTAAATTGCTCTGTTTTGTTCCTAATTTATGCTGAAAAATCCACAAGGAGTTGCCACTCCTATTAACTGCTATTAATTGTCCATTAGTGTTGATTCCCTATTTACCTTCTTAGGACGAGGACAAAGGAGATACGTGAGATACGTGACGGACAGCCATAAAAATATTGGGCAAGTCTTCGACAGCAACTAGTGGAAGGACGAAGTCTTAATCATTGTAAATGAAATATGTAATCATATTATATATTATATCATTCAATGATTTATACTCCCTCCATTTTTATTCATAGTCGTTTAAGGTTTTGCACGAGACTTAAGAAAATGATTAATATTTTAGTTTTCAAAAATATTTATTACTTACTTTCTTATTCTACTTTCTATTTTTTTTATAGTATTTTGTTAGAAATATATCGCTCTTTTAAATGTAACATTAATTTTATATAGGTAGTTGGAGAAAAAATAGATAGACATTAAAAATAAATAGGTACATTGTTCAGTAAACATACATTAATTATCAAGGGTAAAAATGAGAAAAAAATTAATAAATCATTGATTTTAGTAAAACAACAATGAAAAAAAATGACAAATTCTGACAAAACGACTATGAATAAAAAATGGGAGAGAGTATGTATTTCTGATTCGTATTCAATGATAGATATCTACCGGCGGTAATCACGGTCTTTAACTTTAATTATTTGCATTTAATTTATAATATTCACCAAAATTAGTGTATAGAGAATTTAATAATTTGACTTTCCAAACTAATTATCCTCTTACTATTTCTAACGATTAAAGCAACTTGATGAATATGAAGTGTGAACTCTTTTAATATTATATTAGTGAGATTAATATATTTTATGTTTTTATATTTGTTTAAAGGTATTTAAGAATTGTTAATGTTTTGTTAAATTAATTGATATTATGTCTAATTTTTAAATTTTAATGTCTTGAATTATATTCTTAAATTTGTAAGAATAATTAATTTTTAATATTATTTTTTTATTAATTAAAAATTTAAAGATAAAGTAGTTCAAAAATTATATAACAAAATCAGAAAATTATTTTTATATATAGGTATAGATTTCTCTCTCACACACACACATATATATATATATATATATATATATATATATATATATATAATTATTTCTAACATCGGTTGCTATTAAAATAACAACTTTAAAAGTGACCTTATAAGCCGTGTGATTTTATTGGAGAGTAATTAATGTTATGATGTAAATGGTAAAATTAGTTTGAGTTTTACTAACTTAAAAATTTGATTCAATTAAAATAATTAGGCTGGATTTGTAATATTTTGTTAAATGATCCAATCAAATTTCACCCAATTTTATTTAGGTTGGGTTGAATGAGGTAAAATAGATCAATTGATTAAAAGTATTTATATATTTTAAATTTTGAAAAAATAGAATATATAATTTTTCAAGTTCTAAACTTATAATGCATGTCATAAATAATATTAAAAATTATAAATGACATAATATATGTCACAAATAACTCATTTAAAATAATTACTAAGATTAGAAATATAGGAACTTAGGTTTAACCCTTATTATGACTATCTTTTTAATTTTCTTATCTTTACAAAAAAAATGACTCATTCAGAATAATTAAAGTTAACTTAATTATGAGAGATTAAAATAATATATAAAATTATTAGTTTGAATCATATTGTTATCATTGTAATTTTTATAAATAAAAAAATTATTCAAATAAAACTAACAAGAAATATATAGTAATGTCTCAAATAATACTAACAATTATTTGAATTACATAATAAAAACAAACAAACTAAACTCCAAAGGTTATTTTTATAAATTTTAATTATAATATAATGTATAGTAAAAATATTTATTTATTATAATTTTAGTTATATAAAATACACGATTATTCAGCTTAAATGTTAGTTCATTAAAAATCACACATTTTTATATGTTTCACTTCTTATTTAACGACCATGACTTCTTATATGTATTTAAAAATATTTATTTATTATACACTTTAATAATACTAGTATTTAAGTTTGTGTAA